TGTGTGTCAAGCACTACCACTTCATTGCGAACGGTGCCATTCCTACACAAAACGAGGTATATCACCAACAAACAAAAAAGCTAATATTAGCTGAAAGGCTTACCATAGGCATATAATGAACCACCTTCTTTGAAACCAAACTGATCAGCTTCACCTTTCGGCAAATACGGATCCAGTAGCTTTAATGCATTCGCCTCATGACCCTACAAAGATTACGGCTTGGAAATGCAAAAACAAGAAATCCGGCGATATCAGAAACAAAATGACGCTGTTCCGTGCCTTTGTTCCGCTTCCTTCTCCCCTTTCTACCACCATCTTCCCTTTTACCCCGCTCATTTGCGTGAAATGACAAGCATTTTACGAGATGTCGAGCAATCTCGAAAAAATGTGAAAAAAAATTTTTTTTGTGATCAAATATTTATTGCACTTTGTAAAAACAAAGTGTACGTAAAAGACTGCGCGCGCTTTGTAATTGGGCCTTGGCTCAAAAGCTTTAGGACAGTATGGGAGAAGTTAACGGGCGGCTAGCCTGAATAGGAACGGGGTTGCGGTGCGGCCAGGTTGTTGTGCGGTAGTTGAAGTGCGACCGGATCCCGAAAGAAAAGGCTAGGGTGTGGCCGAAGGGTTAAAAGATAGCAAATTTGGAATTTGGTAGCTGATATTTCGAGAAAATTGGAACTCCACTTAGCGACGACTGTAAAGCAGGTTTAATTTGTTGAACTGGAAGTGTTTTGATTAATTTTTTAATAAACACTCTTCCCGTTTAACAATACGGGGAGGTAGTGAAGACGACAAGCAACACCTGAAAACAAGTTCTGTGGAAAAATGTTATTTTGCGCAATTACGCTCGCAGTGAAAAATGGTTCGCAAAACCATCTCACCAATATTCACCGAACGAGTCCAGAGATTACCCAACATTGAGATCTCTGGTAAAAAAAAAAAAATAAAAAATGGCACTTTGTGGATGAGACCAAGTGATGCCACAGCATTGAATTTATTCCAGTTTGTTGCTTTACTGATC